CGCTGCGCACCCGGAGGCGGAGCGCGCGGGCCCTGCCCGGGACCCACCGCCGCGGACCCCGACCCGCAGGTCCCAGGTCCCGGCGCGGCGGCCGCCGTGACTGCCGGTGACTTTGGCTTTGGCTGGATGTCGGCCGACCCGCGTCACCAGTTTGACAGCCTCGCACCAAATCAGAGGGCGGCTCTCGCCGGGAGCCCCGGGCGCCACCCGGAGCTCCCGCGGATTAGAACTCGCCTCTCCTAGCTCCTCCCCTCAGTCCCATTTAAAGCTCCCACGGGCTTTACCGAAAAAATTAAGAGTGGGCTCAGTCTGCAGCGCCTTCTTCCACTGCAAGATGGTAAGTGAGGAGCTGGCGTTAGCTAGTCTGCTGGTGAAACCTGGGGGCTCTGAGAGCTAGTCAGCTTTCATTTAGAATTCTTCCACCGTGGAAGCAAGATTTCTCTGCTACCTGCCAATTACATCAGGTCTTCTCTGCTGCCCCATCTCCCTTTTCTTCTCTATCTTCTCTGGGCTTTCTCTTCTCTCTCTTAATTCCTTCTCTCCGTCTCAATCTTTCTCTCATTCCTTTACCTTCTCTATTATTTCTACTTTCTGTACTTTCTCCCAACTTTCTCTCCCTCTTCACCTGGAATAGCCTTCATTCCACCTCTTCTTCCAGATTATGCACATATTTGCAAACACTTGGACTTGAACTAGTCTAGGGGTGTCTGGGGCTTGTTTTCTTCTCAGGTGTCAATTGTATAATAGCTCAGCTCTGATTCTGATAATATCTTCAGGGAAAGTGCCTACAAACATGCTTTTAAAATAAAAGAAAATAGCACTTGATACACCTTCTGCTGAATTTCTTTAGTCTGAACTCCCCAAGCTGGACCTGCTTCAAAACTGGACTTTTTCAAAACTAAACTTACCGGGAACATTAACAAAGGGTGACTTAATTGACTTAACTTTTTTTTCCCCTCTTCTTCTTGTTTTCTCTCTGTTTATGTTATGCCCAAGAAGGTCCTCAAGTCAACAAAAGACTTGCAGTGGTCAATAAAGAGTTTGTCCAAAGCTGGGCTCTGCTGAAATGAATGGCTTTTACCTGATTAAACATTGACAAATAATTAGGAATGGGCTGTTGTACAGATTAACCCAGGAAGGCTGCACACCCGCTCCTGCCTGGACATTTGGAAAAACTGTGTGTTTGAGGTTTGAGGAGTCGAGGGCAGGAGGATGTTCACTGGCTCAGAACACAGTGGAGAATGCATGCCAGGCATAGTGGTGGCGAGGTAACTTTGGAAGGACATTGAGACCTAGTGATGGAGAGACCTAGAGCTTGCTATCTTTGCTGACTAACTTATTTTAGCTTTGATTATATGTTTACTTGGAGTGACTTTATGCTCCTGTACTTGGAGTTAAGCAAAATTTATTTAGTTATCTCTGGAATATATATATATCTCAAACTATTCAGATCATTATAGGTTCCAGCAGCATTTAAAGCCAGAGGGAGGAATGGGGCAAGTTTATAATTCAGAAACTAAGAAACTAAAATAAGGAGGTTAGACTATATGTCAGGTTCTGTCTATTTCAGCCTTAGCATTCTGGGCTCTTTGCTTTTCAAGGATATTAGAAATATAATTAAGATATTTGCTAGAAAGAGCCAAACAGTTCTCATATCTTTGAATCATTAAATAGAATTCCTTTTACTTAGATCCTGGGTAGCCTGTGAGATGACTCAGACATTGCAACAGAAAATACTCTTGTATATTTACAAATGTGGTCCATCCAATACTAGCCTGTTCTTTGCTGAGAGGGCCTAAGGAAAGTACTGGGTAAACCAAGAAGCTGATTCCCTTTTAGTAATTATGTTTTGATCACTCAAAATTGATCTGGGATCTATACCAACACCTTGACTATTTTTTATTCATTGCATGTAATTTCTATTTCTTGCTCCCACTCTTTCCCACCTCCAAATCCGCATCAACCCATCTCCTGGGACCCCCATACCCCTCATACTGAATTTCACAGAACACCGTTCTGCCTTGCCAAGACCAGTACTTTGTAGGAGGCCAGAACTATAATTGCCCGTATTCCACTACAACGTCAGAATCTAGTGTTGACGTTTCCACGGAGACTTGGGTCTCTTTCTGGGCTGCTGGTCTCCTGGACAACAGAGAGCCCCAACGAGCACCACAGGCACAGGGTAAGTTCTGCTCTTCTGCTTTCCTGGTAGATCTGAAGCCCTTTTCCAGCACCATAGTTGCAAAGCATCATGGGCTGGAACTCTGTTGAAGAAGGAATGATATGGAAAGTTTAAGAAACTCCAAAGACTCTTGCATTTTACAACTTAAGTAACCTGATATTTTGTACTTGTAAAATAGTGAAAATGGGATTCTTCCCCTTGTCTGATGGACAACATGAATTTCTTCCTACATCCCTTTATGGTTCTTGGAAATTTCCAACTCACTGAGGGAGTTTGGGTCTGGCTCAAAGTTTTATAAATCATACTCGTGGGATGCTTTTGGAATCAAGATACCAGTTGGATCATTTCCTAGAGGAAATTCTATGAACAGTGTCTTATAAGTGGAAAAAAATATTTTCTTTTTACCCAAAGAAGACTTCAACTTTGGAGGAAGCATAATATTGATGGAAATTAATTCTGACCTGAGGTTTCGTAACCGTATTTATAAATATTAAAGGATTTTCTGTATTAACACTCAAGTTTCTGGAAAAACTCTCAGACACCTCAGAATTAAATGTCTTTATTGTTGGTTCTGCCACATGATTTTTCTGACTTTGAGAAAAGATACAAACAAACAAAAAGCCCCAAAATATTGAAACACATTTATATGTCAGGAAGCAAGTAGTTCAGTTTTACCTTTCTACCACAGGCAACAGAGAAAACAGAATGCCCAGGGATATGAAACCAAACAGTGTATAAAATTTTATTCCTGTCTCCTTACTTATTATTCCACTTTAATCAAAAATATTTCAGTAATATTTCAGTTTAGGTAGAGGAAAGCAAGAGTAGGAACTGTACCAGATGGGAAACAGAAAGTAAAAGTAAACCATTCAGCATGTGCAAGCATCTTTTTTATTGGTGGGTATAGTTTACTGTCAAACATGAAAAAAATTTTTTTTTTGAAAAAGCAAAAAAGACATACAGATGATGACATTTGAAATACACGAGTTTGGGGTACAGTTTTGAGATTTTCATCAAAGTCTTCAGAAAAGCAAGGCCCAGATTATTTTAAAGTAGAAAGTGCTAGCACATAGAATTCTGAATAAATATTCTCCATCAGATTTAAGACAGGCAGACAGAGATTTTCATCTGGGGAAAAATGGTAGCCTCCAAAATTGCATTTCATTCTAGAGCCAAGCACTCAGAATTAAATGTCTTTATTGTTGGTTCTGCCACATGATTTTTTCTGAGTTTGAGAAAAGATACAAACAAACAAAAAGCCGCAAAATCTTGAAACACACTTATATGTCAGGAGGAAAACACTATATTATCAAGCACTAAAGCTTAGAAAATAAGATAAAAACTTGAAAAACATAGTGGAATTGCAACATTATGCTTAGTGAGGGAAAGATCAATAAATATTTGAATGAATTAATAATGCAGATAGAACAGTCTTAATAAATTTAGTCAGCAGGAATACATATATTAGAGGGGAATGTGACCTCTTAACTCCTAAAAATTCACCTCTGTAACCACTTTGGCATATAATCTATAAATATTTGTCTTTCATAGCATGCTTGCTGGTTTTGAAAGCTTTAAATATTTTGTTTTCCTAGGTGGAGACAATAGCTATTTTTAGAAAGGTAATTGAACCTGTTAAACTTTCCAAAATCCTGTGGCGAGTTCTTTATTGCACATAAACTACAAGTGTGTTTTCTCAGTTTCCATTTGTTTTCACATAGAATCATCAAGCGACTCAAATTTCCCTGTTCCTGACTTGTGTTCATGGGAAGAGGCTCAGCTTTCCTCTCAGCTCTATAGAAACAAACAGGTATGTGTAGATAATCAGAACATTGAGACCCGCCGTGGTCCATGTTTTCCATTCTTAATATTGTCCTTCAATGTCACATTGCTTCTTTTCCCTTGTTAAATTTATATGTTGACTTTCAGTTTAGAACCAAAGTGGATATCTGTCCACAAAGCGATCAAAGTTGGATGATCAATGTCACAGAAAACAATAACCACCACCACCAAAACCCTCTAGGAGGACCTGCAGTCAAGCCCTGCCTTTACACATTTTAATTGTATGACCTCTTGAAGCCTCCTTTTCCTTGTCTATTGGAATAGGTGCTGCCTACCTCAGAGGGCTGTTGGAAAGATCAAATTAGATGAGTGTGATCGTATTTTTAACCCATAAACATAGCTATTCACTTGGAGAAGAGATGATGATTATAAAAGTTTTTGCAAAGATTGCTTCATTTTCCACATTTTGTTGGCTGTTGTTCTTGAGAGAGTAATTTAATCTAGTAGACATACAAACAGATCAGTCTGAGGCTGAGGGAAGCCAACCCACCTCTTTTTCTTTCTTCTTTTTTTAATGTGTGAGGAAGGAGTCCAGTAAAACCTTTCTAAACACCTTTTTCTATATTTAAACAGTTGCCTGCAGCCCATTTTCCTACATACCTCCCCAATTCCCTTGTGGTTACAATTTTAAAAGTTATATAATCTCTTCAAACACTTTGCAATGGATAAAAAATTCAGGGCACACAACTGAACGATCAGGTGGTAGTGGGTGTAGGTTGCATTGAGGCCTCTGAGGGCGAGGGCTCCCTGAGGTTGAGTTCGTATAACAAACAGAATAATAATCAAGTTTAAGGAGGTTAAGGATCAGTGGCATTATTATAAGGTTACAAAGTCAATATAATGGAGCAGGCTTCACCATTGTCTGCTTTTTGCAGCTCCAGGATACTCTGGTGCAGAAGGAAGAAGAGCTTGCTAGGTTACATGAAGAGAATAACCACCTCAGACAATACCTGAATTCTGCTTTGGTTAAATGTCTTGAGGAAAAGGCCAAGGTATGTAACTATCCCCTTTATAAGGACAGAGCAGTGATTCGAGAAAGGAGACGATTTGGGTAAAACTCCTTGATTAAATGTAAGAAGTGTACTAAGCAAAGTGCCTTGGAATGCATTGGATGGGTTGTTCTGAAGGAATTACAGCAGTTTTGCAAGAATTTTTATCTATCATTTCTCTGAAGTATCTAGATTGCAGATTTTAGCTATATATTACAAAAGGAGCTGTTTAAGAGTCAAAAGCCAGTCAAGGGAATTGCTGAGACAACAGAGGTTAATCAAAAAGACAGAGTTGGATGGATGGAACACTGCAGTGGGAATCAGAGCTGAGAGACGATCGGTTCTTTTAATTATCTGTTTGACTTTAGGTAAATCACTCTCTCACTTAGGGCCTCAGTTACCTTCATTTGTAAATGAACGGGCTAAAAGATCTTTTAAGAATCTTCCCTGCTCTAAAATGTTATGAATACAGCTAGAGCCCAGATCTCTTGATCAGCAATTAGATATAGACAATTACATTGGCTTTTAATGAACATTTTTTTCTTACACTTTTAAAATAAACTATTTCTAACTCAAGGATGAATAGTTTGCCCATCGTCCCCTTTTGTTGTTCTTTCTTTCTTTGGGTTTTGTATTTTTTATTATCTATTTGCCATTCTATTATCATTATTGCTTCTATCATCAATCTCTACCTTACTTCTAGACAAGCTACATTATTTGATATTATTTCATCTACATTGATGATGCTTCTTACTACTCTCATTGGGCATAGTTCAGAGAAGAAAGGATACTATACTTAATTCCTTTACAATTCAGTTAGCTTCGTTAAAAAAGGGAGCACATCTCTAGTTATTACCCTGGGCTCCTAACTCCAGCCACCCTTCTGTTCAAAAAGGATAGTTGTTAAATTAGTAAGTTATATAAATTAGACAGATTTTTCTCTCATTCTCAATTTTGCGAGATTTAGACTAATATAATACATATCACATGGCACTGCTATAAAGTTAATGAAATAGAGGAAGCAGTGTCACATAGTGTTTCAATCAGTGGTTCTGTCTAGATTCAGATGGCTTAGGTTTAAATCTAGGCTGCATGACCCTTAGCAAGTCACTAATGTGCCTGCCTGTGCCTCAGTTTCCTCGTTAAAGGAGATTTTAGTAGTACATATATGAAATGAGATCATGGATATAACCAATGTTCAATTCATAGTACTTATCATTGTCATCATCATAATGATAATTACTTCCCTGAATTGAAATTTTAAAGACATCATTTACTCCTTTCAACTTTTAAATGACTATTAAAAAAAATTGGAGTTTCTAGCTGGTAATTTGTCATCATAGATTTTAATTTAGAAACGGAAGCTACTCCAATCAGATTTACTTGTGTGCGTATGTGTGTGAAAATAGAAATTTAATCAAGTTTTCTAAGGAATTAAGGTGACCAGTAAATATTTGAAGGCGGTATAATTAGACAGCAGTAAAGAAAATGACCTTAGTTGATTATCTGACTGTATATTTTCAAATATTACTTCCCCAGAAATTGCTGTCATCAGATGAGTTCTCCAAAGCATGGGGAAAGTTCAGAAAGGGGAAGAGGAAACCCAAAGAGCAGAGATATTTTCCTCCTGAGATCCCCCATCGCAAAAATGCCAAGAGAAACCTCTCTAGTGAATTTGCTAACTGTGAAGAACAACCCGGGCCTCCTGTGGATCCCTGGGTCCTTCAGACACTTGGGTTAAAAGACCTTAACACCATTGATGACACCTTATCAGCTAACTACAGTGCCCTCTCCTCTCACCCCAGAAAACTCACCAGCATATTTCCGCAGTTTCCCGATGATGCAGTTGATCATGAAAATACCCCCAGGGAGGATCTGCCAATTGACTACGAAGGTGACAGAACAACCCCCTCGCACAGCACTGCCAGCCACAGCGAAGATTTTGCCTTCTTTTCTCAACTTTCAAATCCCCCAGGAGGGCTGCAAACTCTTCCTTACTATACTTCTGATGTGTCACCCAATAAGACAGAGATGGCCTTTTCCACATCCCTGAGCCCTCACTGTAATGTGAAAACTCATTCCTTCCACCAGGGACAAGCCTTTGTTCGTCGAGATAGAGAGGGAGGCTGGAAGTTTACCTGGGTCCCTAAGCAGGCTTAGTGACCCCTCTTCTATCACAAAGGACTGCCATGAACTCTGTTTACAAAGACCTCTCTTGCACTGGAACTTGACTATGTGGAATATGGAAGCTATTGCCCAGACTGTTTCCTGCCACTTTAAATGTCACTCTCAATTACCCACTTAAATCTGCAGAGAGTAGCTTCCAAGAATCCATAATGAAACATGCCTGCTTTTCTTTCACCTAAATTTGACTTGTTTACACACCAACACCTGCTGTTGACTTCTTCCCTTTGCCCTATACTTGAAAAGGTATTTTTCAACTGCCTGAATATTCCTTTGAGACCTACGTGTGCTGTCCTAACTATAACGGGTCTAACAGCTTTTCTTCCTTCATCAAGCAGTTAGGTGTTGACAGACTTCACCCTTTCACTTTTCTCCCTCTCCTGCTCCTCTTCATTTCTGAAAACTGCCTTTAGAAGGAGCGCTATTCTTGCTCCAAGTACCTGTTATTGAGTGTTCAAATAGCTGAGGGTGGGGTAGAAACAAGTGTCTTTGCCCATCACCCTTCCTGAAGACATAATGTAGATGTGAGTAATGTTATGTGTAGGGCAGTTCAGTGAGTTGAGTGTCCCATGGTAGAGTTGAAAAAGAGTGTCTTCTAACAGCTGTAACTCTACTGATAAGCAATATCACTGATAAATTAAAAGATTAAAGAGAATTAAAATTACTTCAAAATGCCCCATGGTGTATCAGTTTCTATAGGCACCTGGCATTGCATCTTTAAACAACGTGGCTCAAGCAAGAACATTTTGAGGGACTTGTGGTAACGGAACAAGTCATCATCCTAAACCACTCAGATGCTGACACCACTCAGATGCTGACAGACTTCTATTCTGTGCAAGTATAGTCCAGCCTAGCTCTGACACTGTCTCACTTGTTCATTCAGTCACTCATATACTCATTTTTTCATTCATCAACCCAACCAAAATTTTTGTAGAACACCTACTATACTAGGCACTGTGCTATGGGGTGGTGATAAAACGTGAGCATGTTGGACACTGCGGCCACCCCATGAGACTTAGAGCCACTCATTTACTGTGACCTTGAGAAAGCTACTTCCCTGGTGTGGAGATTCAGTTCTCCCAGCTGGAGAATACAGAAGTTGGACTAGATAATTACTAGCCTTCTATGAATTGAGGCTGGTTCCCATCAGCTTTACTCCAACACTGCCATCCCAGGTCACTATTCTCTTTAGCTTTGATAGGCGCTGCAGATATGTTGGGTGAACTTTATATACAGTTAAACAAAATGTGAGCCATTTGTAATTAATACTAGAAATCATTGCTCTGATCACAGTATTCTTTTTCTGGAATGAGCGTCTTTTGCAGGTTAATTCAGTCAGTCAAACTGTGTGAGTATAACTTGCATCTAAAAAATAGAAACATTAGGTTTTAAATAAGTGTGCATAGATTTAATGCAAATGTTGACATCAAAGATTTCTCTCTTTCTCAATTAAAAAAAATGTATTCTTAGTGCTCATGCTAGTTTTCCTTCTTTCCAATCCCCCAACCTCCCTATCCTTCCCAGAATAATTTACACATCAAAGATGCACACCTATGTTATTTTGGACCAATCTTCAGTTACTGATAAATTTCACCATGTTGAATCTCTTTCTCATTTTTGTCTTTTCCACGTCACAATAAGTCACCTTGTACAATCAGTGCCTGAGAGCGTAAGGCTGCTGCTTGACATTCTTTGTAATGAAGACGTGTGGTTTGTTGCGGTTGCTGTTTGATTTTTGCTTTATTTTGGTGATGTGAGCAAATAATCTATTTTATAAAATTTTGTTACCACCCAATTTTCTTTTTAATCCATGAAGAGGAATCCAAGGTATTAAGTCATATTATTCTCTGGAGTATTTTCCTGACTTAGGAAGAGATAAAACACATTCTATGTTCTAAAAACAAAAACAAAAAAATGCCTTTTACGTTCTTGTATCTGTGCTCCTGGTGTGGGTGAAATTTATCTCTTTTTAAAATAACAAATATAAGAATTAGAATTGGCTGTACTTTAATACATTAGGAATCAAGAGAGAAACATAACTATTTTGAAAGTCTACATGATTAAACTGTAAAACTAAATTGACTAGTCAACAAATATTTATTTTGCATTTTTATGTGCCTTATCATATGTCATGTACCATGAGGCAGTACCCAGGCTTAGCATAATGCATTTGGTATGTAAAACAAAGCCACATAAAATGTAATAGCTTTTAAATGAAACTTGGTCTTAGCCTGGTTTTAAGAAATTACAGCACATTTGTGGTAAGTTATGATAGCTTGCTTTAGCTTATATGGAAGAAAATTACCACATCTTCTCACAATCATATCTATAGACATTTGATATTCATTTGAATTATATATAGAAAATTATTTTGTTGATGTTTAAAAAATTAGAAATTTCTCTCAACTGAGTACATGTGCTAACTTTTGGGGTGTTACCCTGCCTCTTCAGTAAACCACAGTTAATATTTTACTAATATAAAGTGAGAAATAAAAATTAAATACTTTTGTGATTGTGATGAATATTTTTATATTGTGCATAACATTTTCTAATAATGGATTTTCTTCTCCTAGGTTTTAACCGTAATCCTGTTATTTGCACCTCTTTTGTATGATCTATGGGGCCAGACTAATATCTTCAGCATTTAGGGCTTAATGGTTCTTTCCCTTATCCAGGATACATTAATGAGGCTTTCGATGATAAGTGGCCTAAAGGATCAAGTGCTTTGTATGTACAGCACTATCTTACCTAACCTCCCATAAAAATTAGAATCCAGTATCAATTTTTAAAATTTGATGACATTTTCAATGTCTTCTGATCATCTGAAATTAAATCATACTTGTATTTCACCAGTATCTGGAAAATAACACCAATTGGAAAACCTCACTTAGGCAGGTGCCTTTTAATGCACGGGATTATTTAAGTCTGCAGTGATACTAACCTATAATTTTTAAAAATTTGAAGAAAAGAAACCAGTGAATCAAAGGAAAGAATTGCTCTATTTGATCTATTTCAAGAAGACAGAAATTTTTTTTAAAGTATGACAAATCAATTCAACAACCGACCTACATCACAGGTGTAGAGGAAAGTATAGAGTTACTACATCCAGTGATAAATTTTTGATAAGTTTACTTCTTGTCTGTAAAGTCGAGATACACAATTTTACATTTGTTTCAGTTACCAAAAGATTCACATAAGGTAAATATTAAATGCACCATTTTTCATTATTTTTCACTAAACCAAGTGAAATTGGCTTACAAGCTACAAATATATGGTATATTTCTTAACATATTTGTCATATGTTTATCTACGTTTTTTGTTACATGAACATAACCAGACATTCAGTTATAATTCTTACATTGGATATTCTATAAATGTAAAATGTAATTTAACACTTAATATTTTAAATGATCATGATTTGTTTATGATTTAAAATATTTCTAATTATATGGAAGAGTCAATTTTGTAATGAATTTATATCTAATAAATAAATGTCAAAAACTTATTTAACCCTACTTTTGGCCCTTATTTTAGAAACGTTTTTCAGTGAAGGGAGCAACAGACTAAGAAAAAGTTTTCTATACTCATTTCTGCTATAAATTTTATGTCATAGAAAATAATGTGTATTTTAATTTCCAAATAGTGGTATGATTAATAAGTGAGGCACTTATTCAACAGGTATAGTCTGTGTCAGGCACTGCAGAAGATATAAAGATGAAATATGTGCTCAAGCTAACTTTGCTACAAATGAGAGAAACATAACTTAAATATGCTTAATCAAAGCAAGGGAATAATTAGCTCTCGTAATGGAAAAGTTTGTGCTTCAGATCTGGCTGGATCTAGGTGCTGAAGCCATTTTGTCAGGAATCTGGTTTGGGATCTAAAGGAAGGCTGATGACTAGGAATGGATCCTGGAATGGCATTAAGATAGTACTCACCACACAAAAGCATGCCAGAAACCAGGATAGGACAGGCAATGTGAGCTTGAGGAGCTGCATCCCATAAGATATTCTCTAGTTTTGTGGCATTCTCATTTTCCTTCACAGTATAATCCCCCCCAAACGAATAAAACCTCAGTTAAATGTTCCAGACGGCCTCAGTTACACCATGAAGAATTATAAAAATATCAGGATGTCTGTATATGAAAATGTGAAGAGATTTTCCCTGAGGCCCCTATACAGGCCGTGTATTCCTAAGGGAAAGATTAATATCAAGAGAAATTGTTTGAAACTTACGTATCAGGCCAGTAACCCATTACTACCTGGAGATTCTCCTGTTACCAGTCATGGATAACCTGGATTTTATTTAGTTTCTCTACAGGGATATTTGATTTTTTTTTTTTTTTCTTGGAGAAAACTGCACCTCGACCTTACTCACTCTAAATGACCCTCGAATATGGATGTCATCAGGACAGGTTTTGGGAAACATCTTACAGCATGAGCTAGGTATCTTGATTCTCATTTTACAGATGAGAAAACTGGCTCTAAGTGTTTAACGGGTCACACTATAATAAGTAACTGAGGCCCAAGGTAAACCCTGGCACTGACTTTAGATCCAGTTCTCTCTCCAATATATCACATAATGATGGTGTTTGGGACCAGTTCGTGTGCTCACAGTCTGCTGTCTATTACAGACTATTGTGGGCCTCAGACCTAGAGGTCTAGAAGTATGGAGGGAGTCTCAAATCTTTGTTTACATCATCAGAGTTCTAGTCTGAGTCCAGGCCTCTCTTAACTCCATAATTACTAAAAGGGATTGTTCACAAGAGACCTAATTCATCCTCTATCATTTCAGAAAGAGAAGTATATAAATGGAAGAGTACTGCAGAAATTTGGGATACAGAGAGTAGGATGGAAAAGGTAAACTACTCATGGTCACAAGTATTAACATGCTTCTTAAGTGAAAAAAGTCAGAAAAATTAAAAGGGAAATAAATGTCTCTCCCAATTCCTATATTGCTGCTAATACAAAGGCCTAACGTAGCAGTTGTTAAACAAGGCATGTGAATTCCCTCTCTTCCTCCCTTTGTACGGAACATAGATTTTATACCTGTTCTAGTAAGCTGTTATTCCCTTTCCTGTCAACCCTTTTACATATAACTCTAAGGGAAAGTAAAATAGTTGAAAAAGCGTATTTACCATGCTGAACCTACTC